TTAGATTTTACAGGATGCTGGGATGAAGGAGAAAATGAGAACAGGGGAGCATGCACAGACAAAATAACAGGGCCAACATGTCAAATGTTGCCAATTCCACATCACTAATAAGCTTGTTTGTCACATGCCAGGGCTGCATGAGTTGAGGTTGTTTTTAAGGGAGTTAGGTCACATGAGGTTGGTTGTTTTTCAAGTCTGATTCATCTGTGTCCTTCTGAAATCACCACAGTTCCGTGGCTTTTCGACTAAGTAGTTGCTAATGACATAATGCTTCTAATAGCTTGACTTCTACCTGTGTGCCTGGTGGAATGATGATAAATATATTCATCTTAATAATTTAGTTGGAGGTGTGGTCTATTTTAAGATAATCTGATATGCAAATATATACACTTAGGAAAATCACAGGGTGTGATTACTGATGCTCCCCAAACGGTTCATTCTAGGTTGTTTTAAAAAAGTATTCCTATGTTTTATTGCCTTGCACACAAATCTACAGGTATTTGTACATAAACTAAAGCAAAACACTCCTATAATTATCTCAAATGTTCCCTGTTATACACTTGCCAACACCTCAGATAAACCAGACTCTGATTGCTTGACGCAATCACCTCTACCAATGTTTAAAATCAGGCACTAAGCTTGTACTGACTGAGATAGTCTTTCCAGTGAAAAGAAAGCTCCAGTTTCCCAAGAATCCAGAATTTCTAAAATGTCTCTTATTTGCGGATACTCTGTTAGCTCAAGATTCAAGGTTCACAAAATGCCTTTATTTCTATCAATGTCTTCTGATATCAAGCCTTCAACCCCCTCTCCTTTCTCTTACTCATATACCTTTCTTTCCTCATTTCAAAGGCACAGAGGCATTCAAATAAACATGGATTTTTTTTTCCTGCCAAGGATTGAGTATGTAAGTCATCACCGCTGGCTCTCGCTCAATATGCAAATGGTACCTGGAATTTAGCAACAGTCACTCAAACACCTGCGAATATTTGTGATGAACCCATGTGGGATGATCAGTGAAATGACACAAATGCACAAACTTTCTGAAGTATTACGAAGATCTTCATGAACATCCTCCAGCTGATCCATTATGATGTCCATTTTTTTTTTGGTCAAGATAATAATGACTAAGAATTGGACCAACTTTTGGACTTCTGGTCTACCTTAATGATCTCAGTGATCTAACCAACTAGAGTTAACCTTACCAGTTGCTAACCTAAACTGCTTCAATCAGATGACACTTAACAGATTGATAATGACCATTCTCAATCCAGTGATTAAACTTGGTCCAATGATATCAAAGATCAGGTAGGGCATTCAGACACCCAGAATTACTTCTAGCTTATTCTCATCTTTTTCAATGAAGAACATTGATATTCCATTAGAAAGCCACTGTGTGTCTCTAGAAGAAAGCCTTTTCTCTCTTTCAGTCAGAAGAGTAACATCAGACTCAATGATGTAAGACAATACAGTTTTAATTCACATATATTGTAACAAACTTTATTCAAGGAGTGTGTGCCTCACCCAAATTGCTATCTGAATCTTAAGAGAGTACCTGTGGTGCTAGGGGACATCATGTGCTTTGCCCTGAGTCACTTCCCAGAGGGAAGCCACTGCAGTCTCTTAAGGAATATGAACTTGACCTTTCACCAGTCAATATCTACATCAGTGATTTGAGCAAAGCTATTTCACATAAGTGTTGATCCAAGGTTGAAAGTAACCCCTAACACAAATGTTAGGTGAAGTTGCATGAGGAAAGTTATCTGCACTTGGATTTTAGGGCTGGGATCACCCTTGATGGCTCTACCTCATTCCTTTTAATACACACACATAGGGAGCCTACCAGTGCTGATATGTTCTGACTCATAGACTTTGAAGGACAAGTTCGAAAGATGCTCTGAAACAGCCATTCACAAGGCAGGGGGTATTTGCATAAGTAGCATTTTCAGCAATGCATTGATATTTAAGGGGAAAGAGGTCAGTTATGCTATATTGTTGGATCAATCCCAATGAAGGAAGGTCCTTTCCACATCATCGCTATGACCCTGTTCAGAAACAGGGATGCAACCAACAAGACAGAATTTTTAGTAGAAATAAATATTTAAAAAACATCTTTCACTGTTGGTTAAACAATCAATCGCATGAGAATAGGATAAGGGACTCTGTGACCTAATGCAGGTGAGGTGAGTGATACCTGTGCATTACCTGGTGTGTATCACTTTGACGATGTGGTACATTTAGTCAACCATAAGCTCAATAAGCAACAATGGAGTGAGGACAGAGGTTAGGAGCTGATGTAACTCACAATGGAGTCCAGATCAAGGGGATGCCCTACTGAGGTCTGCCTGAGTTATCCAGGGCATGGCACAGAGGAACTTAGGGAAGCACAGAGGAACTAAAGCTGTCTAGCACAGGATGGCTGGAAGAGTGAAGGATGTGGAAACAATGCCACTCAAAAAACAGAGCAAAGGGCCTCAAATGCTAAGTGAAGAAGGGAAGACTGGCTAGAGGAAATTCTAAGAGCTGCTTCAGTGACTCTTAAATGACTGTGTAAGGAGCACTGAGGAGCAGAAGACACAGGAAACATCCCTTCATGGTCAACAGAGTTGGCCAAGGGTCCCACAGAGGGTGGACGCCATCACCATGAGAGAAGCTAAGTGATACTAGAAAAGAAAGCCAACTGATTCTAGAAAACTGTAAAAAGTGCCTTCCAACCCCCAGTGATTCTAGTCTTTCATGTGACCTCGCTCTCCGGAGACTCCTTTCTTCTGCCATTCCATATAATTTCTAAGCTGACACGCCTCCTGAATCACCCCAATTATCAGAAAACACTGGTTCATCCTCTTCTACAATTCAATGATGCTAGCTATCCTCATTATCTAATTACCTGTCATGCAAAAAAAACTTTAGTTGGAGGAGAACTTGAGGAGAGCTTGCCAAAGTAAAAAGTGACCTGGTTACTCCTGCATAGCTCACATTTGTTTTTTTCTTAATTATTAACTATCGACAACTGTCAGACTGATATCATCATGCTTCTTGGATGTCAATATTTAATTACTTTAGAAATGGCAAATTTTGTTAGGATTTCATTTAGGCAACTGTGTTAGTCTGGTGTTATCAGAGGCTGATTTGGATGATTTGCTTTAACATTGACTCACTCAGCCTCCAATTATATCATGTTGACTACACTTGGAAGAGGATCCAGGGCAAAAGAAAACCACAACACAAGCGATGCGAAAGGTCTTGCATAATTATCTCCCAATAAGACAGATGATCTAAACTGAAAACTCAATTGTAGAAAAAGTCATTCCTTTCCAGGCTTGAGACATGCTCTGCTGGGTACCTTCAAGTCTCAGTGTTTAGTAAGGATGAGTCGTTCAGTTTCTGCCTATTTATTCTTACCCCGTGAATGTGAACTCCTAGGTATAAACCAGAAGTGCCAACCTATTAAAGAACTCAAGGTAGGCACAAATCTTAATAATCTTTCTGGTCTCAGTTGGCTGTTGAGCTATTTCTAGCGAAGATAGAGAGTGTCATTCACCCGAGATTAAGGCTTCTGTCTTTACTTGAGTTTTCAGAATCACATTGGGTCACTTTGCACAAATCTACTTGTTAAGTCTGATATTGCAAGATCTGTCAAGACGCAGCCCTGTGAATTGAGCCCTGAAATGTACATTCAATCCACAAAACACACAAGAGGGAGCTGAAATCTCAGCTGAGGGTTCAGTTCCAGGGTTGAGAAAGAAAGTATCCAAGTAAACATCACATTAAAAAAAAAATCTAGGTTTTTTTTTTTTTTTTTTTGCGTATCAAAGAGCATATGTGAGTTTCAAAAATATTTAGCAGTTCCTTAGTTGCATTTTTGTTCAGTTGAAATCAACTCTGGATGCAAAACTTACCAAAAAATAGGTTATTTGGAACAGCAGTTTTGGTTCCATTGGATTTAGCTTTGTTTTCTATTAGTAGGATGGAAATTAGTTCCTCAAATACGAATTCCAAATTTAGCTCTGGTATTTCACATTATCCCTTTTGGCTTTATTTGAGTTGATTGCTTTTAAGGAATTTCCTTTTAAGCAGAACAAGTGAAGATTTAATATATTTTAACATTCTAGTCAATAAGCAATTCATTATACATGTTCTTTAAGGTGAAGGCTATTCCTTCTGAATAGGTAAGAGAGAACCGGCCAACTAAAACGAAGGCAATTACAATAGGATATACAAAATGATATTGGAGAAGGGCCATAATAGAGTTGACGTTGTTTTAAAATCAAGCCTTTACATCTTTCTGATTTTGGCCCACTCAGTAGCAAAGGGCTACATTATGAAGGGGCTCATACCCATCTTTTATATACCATCAATTATAAAGATAGATTTCTAGTGGCCATAAGTCCATGTGCTTTAAAGCTAAATATTCCTGGTCATTTTTAATTTTCCAGGAGGGTCAGTACAGTTTTCTCAATCTCTCTGTGAATCGCCCATCATCTTGAAACTGCTAATTATTTTTGCCTTTAGAACAAAATGAACTCCAAATGTGACCAAGAATACAGGCAGACGCAAAAGCAACCAAGCTTTCGTACGTGTAGTGCATGTATATAGCATGAGTATACAAAACGCAAGGGAGAGAATTAATAGGCTCTTTCGGGTCCCTGTTATATCTTTGGATGCTACTGCGATGATAATCATATCATCTGCTACACTGGGGTCTCTCTTGTCTTTGTTCCTCACGGTTCCAAAACCCCGGGTGTGAACATCACTATCATCTAAGACAACCATGCCCACAGCACCACACCCCTACCAAATTTAGGCAATGAATTGTGCCCCTTCTACTTCAAAGGGATGCTAAGCAAGCCTCATCCTGGAAAGCTAAGGGAGGGAGATTGCAGGACCTCTAGTGACCACACCCCACTTTCCAGGACCCCAAAGGGAACGGGGCATGGTACAGACTCAATGTGCCTCAAGTCTGTGCTCCACAACCCTGAAACTCTTGGGTGACACTATACCTTTTCTTCGCTGCTGATGTTTCGGGTGGAAGTCCTCCAGGTGATGGAGGGAATGGGGTCTCCGGAGGCTTCACAGGTGAGAGTCACCTGCTCCTCCAGTTCCATGGCAGTCTGGTTCTCTACATATGTGATTTTGGGTTTTGCTGAAAAGAAAAAAAAATTCTGTAAGTTTATCTAATTACATAGATACATTTTTCTGGGTTTGAATGATGACATGCATCCATTCAAAACAAAAGTTATCTATTTTCTAAGTACAAGGTCCTATTCTAACTATGACAGGAGACACAGAATTGAATGGATGCAGGAGCTATGATGTATGCTATCCTGTTCTGGGCTTTCACCAGGAGATAGCTTTGGGGCTCTGCCATGAGATTTTCAAACAGGCACAACTTTGGCCTGGAAATGAAGTGATTCCAAGTATAGACAAACTGCTTGAATAAAAGCAGAGAAGCTGGGGCATATAAAAGGGGGGTTGGGAAGAGGGTAGCTCTGTATGAGGAAGACAGACATTAGGCTGGGTGGCTGGAATTTCCTCCACTGACTGGCCTCCACCACTGACCACCACAACAGGGGTGGTCATTTCTATTTTAAAGATGGTGAATTTAGGAACATGTCAAGATGATTTAGAATGGAGGAGGACTTGAGGTAAAGATACCAGTTTTAGAAGTTCTGGCAAGGACCCAGATGTGAGCTCATACTGTGTACTAATAGAGTTTGTTTTGGGGGGGGGGAGAAGGAATGCTTTGAGTTGCAGGTGTGGGGAACATCTGGCTTGTAGGCCATACAAGTCCTGTGAGCTCATTTAGTACATGAGGGAACAGACCCCAGACACAGTGCTTCTGCGCTTCCCATTGGCTCCCCACGGCTTATCAGCCTGGATTGACAATTTTGTATGGCCAATATCCAAAGAGCCCTCCTTCTTGGAGTAAGTGGAAATGAATAGAGGACTCCAGCAGGGGTGAAAGAAAGAAAGGGTTGACATTCTTATGACAAGAAGCATGGTGTTGCTAGAACAGTCTCCAGGGAGGAGACTAGAAAGAATGCAATGGATTGAAGCTTCTGGGTGGACTGAAGATTGGAAGAAAAGGAGTTGAGATGAGTTCATTTTCCAAATGTTTTGGGTAATGCACGAAGCACAGGCATTCCAAATCTGAGCGAAATGCTAACACATTAGGGAAAATTGAATTCTTTTCCCCAATTTAAAACAATTATCCTCTAAAATGGTTTCTATAGGAGAAAAAAAAGAGATAACACCAAAGAAATGTAACTTATTTCACTAATGGAGGAAAAATAATTCTAGCCAGTGAGGCAAATAACACCCAGCTACTAGGTAAGTAGTGGCGGATTACAGAGTCCTCCTGCTTACCCTTGGTTCACTCTAGCACCAAGGTTTCATCTTCCAATAGTCTGACTTTGTGTTAGTGTCTTTTGTCAGCCCATGGTGTTTGGATCGCTCTCCTACTGTTCACCTGGCCTCCATGGAACTTGGTATCTCGAAATGCTTCATTCCTTCTTTTCCTTGTGAACCCTCCTGTGAGATCTGCCATCCTGAGATCTGCTGTTTCCCAGCACTGTCTGTGCCTCTGCAGTTAGCCACTGAGAGCTGGCTTTGTCAATGCTCATTCCAAACCAAGCCCCAGCAACTCTAGTCCAAGAAGAACCCTGGGGCTCTTGTTTCTCTGAACAACAAAGCTGGATATTCTACTGCCACTCAGGATGGGGGTACGATTCCCCTCGGGTTCCTGCTGGTCCTAAGAAATCAGCTAAGCAAGGCTTCTGCCCATTGGCATACTTCCCTCAGCCAATAGCAGACATGAGACTTAAGAGCATTAGCACAAGTGTAATAATCTGCGGAGACAAAAAAAATCCCTTGCAGAAAGAGTCCACAGGGAGAAGAGCAATGGAAATTCACTGCCAACCTTAAAGGAGGGTAGGACATAATTACTTAGCAAAAGGAGCTTCTAACTGATAACTAGGGCAGTGCATGCTTGAACTGGTCCTTTCTTAGATTAAAGAAAGGTAGAACCATTACCTTGTTCCCCTAGTCTCCTTACCAAAGACTTTGAGGTGGATGGATGCATCCTGCTCGCCAGCCTTGTTTTCAGCAATGCAGACATACTCAGCCTCATCATTCTTATCCACCTTCCTGATGGTCAGCTCGGTACTGTCGTCACTGAAGATGTACTTCTCTTCGTCCTCCTCATTCTCTATCAGTTCCCCATCCCTGTAGGGTGCAAAAATGCAAAAGACAAAGATGCTGAGCCCAGGGCCCTTCTCAACGATGTAGACTTCAGATTCCTTTCCTAAGGCTACTTAATCCTTTGAGTCTGTCCAAAGGATGTAACTGTGTTCTGAGAGGTGTCATAGACTCTCCTACCCGGCCATGCCCTCCCAATCTGCCTCCACAAGACTGAAAAATCTTATGCCTGCAGAAGGCAAGAGAATGTGATGTAACTGAAAATCCATTCTTCACCTGGAGAATTTCCAAGAAGCCTCTCCCCAACTCAAGGCTATACCAACATGCAAAAGGTTCCTATGATAGTCCCCTTCTCTTGCCCATGACCCAAGGCAGGGGTCAGTTTCTTACTTTGTCCAGCTCATCGTGGGTTCTGGGAAGCCGTCTGCATCACACCCCAGGGTGACCGATTGGCCCAGATTGGCGGTGGCATTCACAATGCTCTGCCTGGCATGGACAGTGGGTGGCACTGAAGGAAAGAAGAATGGCAGGGAGATTGTGAAAACAAGAAAGAACTCAATGACTCAGAGAAGGGCCCCACCCAGGGGCCAGGAGTCCTGGGTATAGAATTCGTGTAAGAAACCTAAATTCATGTGTGGACTAAAGAATTACAGTGAACAAAAATCCCACCATTTCCCCACATGCATGAATTGTTGGTTTCCAAGACTTTAGATGCTATCATATTACATTTTGCCCGTGTTGACATGGCATGTGATTTATAGTAGCTATTTGTCATTATGTGTTTTCTCAATCAATGTACACTAAATAACTACGGGCTTGGTGTACCTTGATGTTAATTTAACAAACAAACCAGTATCTCCATAAGGATAGTTACTACTGTGAAGAAACCCACCAACTCACCAAAGAAGGTCATTTTCCTAGAATGATCATAAACAACTTGTACACAAACTGGTTCTTTTTCCCCAAAAGAAGAGCGAGATGGGGGAGAGTTTGGCAAAAACATACATATCAATAGCCAAAACAATTCAAATGTGACTTATTTTCTTAGCTCTGACATTATAATTTCCTGTAAACATCTTGTAAATGTCAGATCGATTCTGTGGGTGTGTTTATTTGACACTGAAAATTAAGATTCATAAACCCACGGACCATGATTTGGACTGTTTTGAAATTAGAGTGAAATGAAATAAGTTTCTCTAGACCTTGAGCCAGAGGGACTCAATTATGATAATATCCAAGAACAATGAGGAAGAAGAGGAACTTACTAGGAAGTGTGTGGAACTTTTCTAGTTCTGTAAGATGATGAAAGATATTCAGCATTTGTATCCAAATCCCCCATCATTGATGGGAGACCCAGGCAACGAGTTTATTTAAAAAAGAAAAGGAATATTTCTTCCCCTAGAGGTTATGGTGGGGAGTTGAGATAAATGAAGGAGTTGAGATGAATGGACGGACTGGGAGGACCAGACTTATTTTACAAAGCAAAGAGAAAAAGTGAAAGGAAATGCGTTAGCGGTGGTAGGGAAGGGGAAAACCACAGTTGCAGCAATGGAGAGAGAGTAAGAATGGGACTCCTCACCATTCACAATAACCTGAATGTCCTTGAAGTTGATCTCCCCCCGTGCCAGGATCCTGCCCTCACAGCGATAAGTGCCCTCGTCCGTTTTCTTGATACCCCGGATCTGCAGGTAGTTGTTGGACAGGACTATGAATCGGACTAGAAGAGACAAGAAGCAGGTGTTTATCCAAGAGTCAGTTAGAAACCGCTGAGATCTGCAGGCAGGTAGCTGAGCCTCTTCCTCTTCCTTCAGTCTTACAAGGTAGGGGTTAGGGCTGACAAGATCTCACATGAGCCTGGCTCTGTAATAAGATCTGAGAGCAAGAGTCTACTGGAAAAAAATCAGGTGCTGGAATTTATCACCTATGTCCATTTGGGCTTTGGGAGTCCAAATATTGTGGATCTAGGGGAACCCGAATGTGATTTTGGCCCGGGAATGCCTCAGAAGCTGAGAAGGATGAAGATGAGGGTTCACAGGGAATGAATAGTGTCTCAGGCAATTCAGGTCTCACCATCTTTCTTCAGGATCACATCTCGGCCTTTGTGTTTCCAGATGATGGTTGGGGGTAGAGAGCTGACCACGTCACACACGATCACGGCATCCTCTCCCTCTCTGAACTCCTGTGGGGTTGGTGCGTTCTTGAACATGAGCTTCTCTGGAAAAATGAGCAGGAGAAGCATGAGGAAGAAACTGGATCCACTCACAGGAGCACTTCTTTTTTTTTTTTTTTTACTTTGTGCCAGTCCTGACCTTGAACTCAGGGCCTGGGCACTGTCCCTGAGCTTCTTTTGCTTAAGTCTAGCACTCTAACACTTGAGCCACAGCGCCATGTCTGGCTTTTTCTGTATATGTGGTACTGAGGAATGGAACCCAGGGCTTCATGCATGCTAGGCAAGCACTCTACCACTAAGCCACATTCCTAGCCCACAAGAGCCCTTCTTATTAGAGTTATGTTACTGGACCTGAGTTCCAGGCCAGCCTCAATCCCTACATACAGTTCTATAAGAGGTACTCCCAACCAGCAGCTGGTCATAGATGGGAGGCGGAGAAGCTGGCACGAAGAAGGGAGTAGGCTGCCAGTGTTTAGCTACTGATAGCAGAAACAATCTACAGAAGGGGAAGGAGTATCTTCACCGAGAATTCCTTGCCATGTGGGATGGTACCAGTGAGGCAGACGAACGGGCAACACAACTGGTCTATAATAGCAGTCCCTTCTTTGTCTCCCTATAGCAAAGAGAATTCTGAAGACGAGGAGAGAAGCTGAATGACAATAAACCTAGGGCAACTGATATTGTCCCACTGGCTGTCACTCGTCTTGACTCTGGTCAACAGGACAGAGGCGCTGGAACAAAGTAATGAGGTGCCATCTCCAGATGGGGATTTAGTGGCAGGAGGAATCTCCTGCTGTGAGCAGCACTGAATGCTCAAGTAAGGAGATTTGATACCACTGGCACCTGGGCAATATCCCCCGCTGAAGGACAGTGAAGTAAAAAGGAAAGCCTCAATGGTCTAACCACAAGACACAGAGGGAGCCCTATCAGCTTTCTGGGAACTGTGTATTTTGAGTCAAAGAAGGCAGACTAGTGGTTTATGAGTTCTGAGTTCCCCAAGGACCAATGGAGAACACAGAGGAACTCTGAGTTAGGTCAGGAAAAGACTTACAAAGGGGAACACAATCCTGCCAGGGCCTCACTAGTCCTTCTATTGCCTCCTCACTATTTCTACAACCCTACCATGTGTCCTGCTGGCAAAGCAGAGAATGGAGAATGACCGAAGGGGGGAGGGAGGTTCTTACGGAAGATCTTCACATTGACAGTGGCCTCAGACTCGCTGCCATCTTCGCCCGTGACCACACACTTGTAGATGCCTGCATCGTCGATGTTGGCGTTGTAGATGGTGAGGGTGGAAGAGGAGTCGTCATTCCACACCACCGAGATCCGCTGCTGGTTTGGGCTGAGCTTCTCTCCATTGGGGGAGAACCAGGAGATATCCTTGTCTTTGGCATCTCCTGCCACTGGGGAGGGAGAGATTCTTTTCAAACCGCTGAAATCGTGGTGATGAAGCTCATGCAGAGTGACAGTGGCTATTTAGTAAGCACTACTGGTATCTGGGTGGTGAGGAAGGGGGACCCCGCTGGTTTAAGAATGCCCAGCAGCTCCATTTTACATCTGTTTCATTATTGTATATCTAAGATGGGGAAAGATGCCACACATGCCTGGGCTCCTATTGCTTTCCTGTTCATTTGTTGATCATTGATTGTATCCTATGTACTGAGCTGATGTACTTCTAGATATGCTGAAGTTAGTATATCTACGTCTGACCTAATGGGCGTGAGCCCACTGACCAGCTTATTTTCGGGACTGGATTAGAATCCTCTGAGCTGGAGACATGAGACAATGTCTAGTCTAAGAGTATAGGTTCCAATTACATTGGTTCTAGCATCTGTTTGTGCATATCAGCATAAATGTCATTCCAGCACCTGCTACTTTGGACAAATGTAGCTCTTCCTCTCCTGTGGGCATCTGCGAGGGGCAGACTACTGCTGCTGCCGAGCTGACCAATGGTAGGCTGCGGCTCAGCCTGGGGAGCTTGGTTCTAGCAGATGCAGATCCTGTAGCATCTCTGCACGGAGCCCCTTCCAATCCACCCCATCCAGCCCCACGCAGATGCTTAGTATGGAAATGAAGCAGTCTTCCTTTCAGGACCCATCGTGTTTTCAATAAATATCACTATTTGCAAGATGTGCTGTGGGCTTCACGGCTGCGTCTCCAGATCGTTGGGATTGCTGTAATGAAGACAGAGCCGGAGCGGGTGCATCCGCCGGCCACAACTACCTCATTGGATGCAAATCATGATGGCACTTAACAGTTCTCCCCCCTGCCAAAAGCTGCTTGCTAAATGCCACGGTTCATATCCAGCTCCACTCTTTCCAGGTTCTGCCATGTTCTGAATTCCCAGTTGTTTCCTATTCAGAGAACCTGAGGCCTAATTCTATTCATTATAGGAGCTGCGGAGGAATAAAAATGCATCTTTTCTAAATAAACACAAGGTTTGACACAGCCCAGAGCTGCAGTGGACAGAATACTGCCCCATGAGGCTTTCCCAGCAGACCTGAGGGGCACACACCCTCCGAACCACAGAGAAAGCACTAGGCATTGCCTTTTGGGCAAATTTTAGAATTTCTTGGACTTACAAGGTAGGAGATTCTAAGCAATGAGCCGTAAGTTAATCTGTCAAAGCATTGCTGGTTGGTGCCCATGTTGTTTTCACTGACAGAGCTAGTGGGACACAGCTCCGGAGAAGCGAGATGCTTCGCTGCCTAGGAGTTGTGCTCCTATTAAAAAAACTCTTGGGCTTCCCTCCACTGCCAATCAGACAATAAATACACATCACCGTGATGGTGGCGGCCTCTGAGAGGAAACAAGGGGGCCTGAGAACTCTTCTATCCCGGAACACAGCAATGCCCAGAAACCTAGATAGCGCCATCAACTGGACACTCAAGGAACTTCTGCCTTGTCCGATGTTTGTATTGATTGGGTACTTGGGGTTGAACTCAGAACCTTGTGCGTGCTAGGCAGGTACTCTAGCCCTCTGTTTTCCTTGGTGGAGTCTTGCTTGCTTCCTGGCTTGTCCTGAACTATGGTCTTCCTATTTAAACATCTCTGTGTTAGACTCAGCCATTGGTTAGAAGGAATCTCGCAAAATTATATGCCCAGGCTGGCCTGGAACAGAGATTTCCCCAGATCTCTGCCTCCTCTAAGTAGCTAGGATTATGAGTTTGAGACAAAGACTCCAGCACCCAGCAGGTTTCTGAGGTGAGCCTGGAAGCGCGGAGGAACACGGGACACTTGCCTTGGCACAAGAAGAATTTGGACTCTCCAACGCTGATCTCCCCTTGGCTGGGAACGATATCCACCTGCAGAGAAACTGAAGAAAAAGAAAAGAAGACAAAAAAAGTCCAGTTTAACTTTCACATTTGAAGTTTTGAGAATGGAACCCAGAGCCCTCACTGGAAACAGGGTCCCTCAGCTCAGTGTAAGAGAGGCTAAAAGGTGGAGGTTGTGGGGAGCCGAAGGCCTTGTCACCACCAAAGTACCATCACCATGCAGCTGTGACAGAACCAGACCATCCTACAGGGGAACACACTGTCCCTGGGGGGAGCTCTCTACCCTAAACGTGACCCCTGACCCTTGAGAGGGCTTATGGTCCCGATCTAGATTTCAATGTGAGCTATACCACCAGTGTCTTTTGATGGTCAACTGGGCTGCATCACCGGCAGGAAGCCTGCCACAGCAGAACTAGGCCCCAGGGTCTCCAGAAAACTCCTCACGCCACCCTGTTTATCAATCATTGTGAAGATGCAAACTGATTCTGAAATGCCCACCTTGCCTAGCAACTTGGACCATCACGCCTGATTCCCTAACAGAATGTACCAGCAAACACCGTCACTCCTTTTAGACAGATGCTTGCCTAAAATCCTGTATTCTGTGCCCCCATGGATTTCCCTGTATCCCTTGGCTACTTCCCCTGAATTCTTGTTTGAATATTCGTATGTGCTGTCATTCCAACACACTGATAAGAAAACACACGGCCCCAGATCTCACCGATTCCTACATTCAGCCTGCTCCTCATTTATCTGCTCCGAACAGATAACCGTTCCTCAGGAAAACAGTTTTAAGATAGAAAAGAAAATGCTTTATTCATTTGGATTTGACTTCCTTTTGCCTCTCCTCTTCTTAAGTAAATCTGAAAGCCAAACATTTGGTTCAATGCATGGAGCATTTCAAAGCCAAGATGAAGGAGGCGCCTGAACAAAACAAGCTGGGTCCTAGATAGTGACTCACGGAGTCTTTCCTTCCAACAGCCATTTTCTGTTCACAGTGGAATGGAGAAGCTTGTTGCCATGGCGACTGGCTTGCAGGCAGGGCTGCTGCAGCTCTAGGTCTGTGCTCATGTGATGGAGAGACCACAGCTGTTCTCAGAGAATACAGGGGCCAAAGGGATGGTTTGGGGTTGTGCGTGTGTGTGTGTGTGTGTGTGTGTGTGTGTGTGTGTGTGTGTGTGTGTACCAGATGATTGGGGGTACAGTCTTTCTAACCATCCCTCCAATAGACAAAGCAAGTCATTGAGAAATCTAGCAAAAGGCTACAGAGAAAGGAATGATGAGGTAGAGCCAAGGATAGAAAATGGAAGGAGCCAGGACAAGGGGAAGGGATTGGAACAGGAGGTAAAGCAGGGAGGGGACTGAGCCCTGCTGTGGACAAGAGGAGAAGGTCAGCTGCTTCCAAATGCTGGACTGGAAGAAGCACTTCAGTAACCTAGGGATGGCTGGCTAGTCTTTGCTCTTCTCTAGAGAGAATGATCAGCTTCACACTGTGAGATCCAGAAAGGGTCTCAGATACCACCCTGCCCTGACTCTTTCCCTTCCAGATGAGGAAGAGAGACAGTTGAGGATTGACCTTCTCATGGGCACTTCTAGTAAGAGCCAAGGTACCCTGAGTCCAGGCCTTCTGGTTCCAAGGTAGGTGTTCTGTGAACCATGCATGTAATTAACAGACCACTACTGTGCTTAGCAGAACGTGAGGATCAAAGAGCCCCTAAGTACGGGGAGAGATGTTTCCATTCCGTGTAAGGAATGATTTGGACATGCTGAGTTACGACCCTCAGCTTTGCCACTCCTTAATGAGAAGAGCAAGCCCAGCATGGACAAGACCCCAGGGGCCTTACAAGGAGGGCTGTGGGCCAATACTAAGAGGCCAATCAGGGCCTCTTCTATTGCTTTCTTAGGAAGTGTAGAATCCTAAGCCATTCCTTACCTGAGTAATGGTCCTTTCTGGAGTTTATGGGGGCATTTTTTTTTTTTTTAGAAAACTGGAGACATATTTCTGGAAAGTTCACTGGCCCATATGTTGAGCATTAGCTTCAACATATGGATCCGGTTACTCTGGTAAGAGTCCTCATTGCTTTGAGAAGGATATTCTTATCCTGAGTGAAAAAAAACACAGCCCGAACTTGCTTTTTAAAGCTATTTTCCAAAAGAACATGACTCTCAAGGGGAAGCCAGAAAACTGAAGAGTTTTCATACCCCAAAGTGGCCAGGATCTAGCATGGACCACAGGGAAAAATAAGAAATGAGAATTTCAAAGGAATTCCCAGCTGCACGGGATCCCACGCACACATTCATTATGACAGAAGTTTAAAAATAGGTCTTCCATTGAGACTCCTGGCCTTCTGCACACATGGAAAAGAGAGCCATGTACCTCATCAAAACGCCAGACAATGCGGGGCCAGAAGGACCCTAGGATGCTGGACAAATGATGCCTGGGTATTTTCAACTGTGGCACAATGGTTCATCATTCTCCTGTGAAGTACCAAATTTTGAAATATCAGCATTAGCAATGATGAAGTAGAAACCATGCTCTGGTGTCTTTCCCGCTGGGGCTTTGTGTCTACCTTCTAGTTCCCTGTTAGAAACTTTTCTTGTTTCCAAATGCCTGCCTCGAGTTTCACATTCCTTCAGTAGCATGGGTGGGTGAGATTTGCTAATCAGGAGTAATGCACACCTTCAAAGACACCAATAAAAGCAGTTTTCCCAAAGAAAACATGTCATCCTGATTCTCAACACTCTCTGTACAAATGCAGGCTCGTTAGCTGCATACAAAGATCCACGTTTCCACACCGAAGTGCAAGGACCTGCCTTGGTCACAAGACAGCCATTTCTATACCCTCTTCTCAAGGACTCATCTCCCAAGTCTACCAGAAGCCTGTCCACCCTCTCCAGTTGACAAAACGCACCTGATCTCCTCACAGGTTTTGGAAAGTTCTAGAAGGGCATGGAATACTATATTCATTTTACAGAAGAGGAAATCAAGGGCACAGAGAAGTGAAATAACTCAGGGAGGACTTCTCAGCAACCAAACCAAGAATGATAAAACATCTAATGCCAAGGCTACTGATCATCCCCCATCTTATCTTTTGCAACCTCCCAATGGGTTATTATATCTTGGTTACTACTTGTTCTCTTTCCAAATCATGGTGTAGAAAGAGCTTGGCCCTTGAAAAAACTTTTGTTTTCTTTGGCTGTCATGGGACTTGAACTAAGGGCCTGGTTGCTATTTCTGAGCTTTTTTGCTCAAGGCTAGCACTCTACCACTTTGAGCCATAGCTCCACTTCTGGTTTTCCAGAGGTTAATTGGAGATAAGAGACTCATGGACTTTCCTGCCTGGGGTTGGCTTCAAACCACCAATCCTCAGATCTCAGCCTCCTGAGTAGCTAGGATCACAGGCATGAGTCACTAGCACCAGGTGTGTGTGTGGGGAACTATTATAATCCATTTGCTTCCATCTTTTTTTTTTCTTGGTGACTATAACTGGCTTCTTTGTTTGGAGCTGGTGAAGGCATGGTGACTCCCATTTTGGGAACAGGTAAGGTCAAGACTCCTATCCAAACTGAACAGTGTCCCAAGCTCGAGCTATTTCTTTAACACTATTCTTACTCTTGTGGATACACACACACACACACACACGCACACACAGAACAAAGTGATCTTCCTTTTGCCATCTCACTTGAAAAAACAACAACAAACCCATGAGAGATGGGCATGTTCTGAAATATGTCTTCCACTTAAATGTCTTAAAAAAAATTGAATTGATGAATACTCCAACAGAAATGCTGACGCTTTCAGGTGTAGACGGAAGTTTTATAACTCGCCAACTCCCCAGCAGAGGTAGGCAGTCTTAGTTGCTAAAGAAAAGTGAATTAAAGGATGCCAGAGTGCTTATCAGACGGGGTGGGCATCTCACGGCAAAGCAACTGAGAGGAATTATTCCGATTTCAAAAGGGCGTTCGTAGATGTCGCTGAAATTGGCGACTCTTCCAGCGGTTTACTTTTACTGCTTTTCTTTTCGGATTCCAGTGGGCTACAGGGGAGGGGCAGTAAGTAAGAGCAGGATGAGCGGAGGCCTCTCCTGAGGCTAACTGGGAATACTTCCACAATACCTTATGAAGTCACTGGCTGTCAAAGAAAAAACTTCAGGTGTGCGGTGGTTCACGGGCCACCATGCACATCTGAGGGCAGCGTCCTGGTTCACCAAGGGTATGGGTAAGTGGCAGAGAAGGCTGTGCCTAGCGAATCTCATAGCACAAGGACATTTGACAAAGGCTCCAATCTGTGGTCAGTGCACTGTTTCTGTTTTCTACTCCCATGTTAGGCACTTTATTTGTTATTTACTGAATTCACTCAGAACCCCTCCCCCTAAATAAAACCAGTAACCGGAGTAGTAAACAATAATGATCTAAAAGAGCCATGTTAGCTGGGTCTCAGTGCTCTTGTCTGCACAATGGAGATGGTGGGAAAACTGAAGTAATGGGATTGGGTCATCACAGGAATTAAATCGGGTTGTGGTTAAGAATTCAGGGCCTGCAGCCAGGGACACTTGGGTCCAGATTCCAGTTCTGAGACTTAGCGTGAAGTTGTCAGGTGGATCACAGTGCCTGGATTCCTCACCTGAAAATGAACAGAATGACTCTACAGATCTCAAAAGGTTACTGCAATGATTTAGACAGGCGATGTGTATAGTATTGAATCTACACACACACACACACACACACACACACACAAGACCTCAACCAAACGAATTCAAATAGCAGGGAGGAGATAGCAGAAACTTCTTGTATATTACTGGATTCAAGCAGTCCAAACTCTATACTCTATATTATGGTATGGGCATATGCACTGAGATCTATATGTACATGTGGGCATATCCACAGAGAAATTATACACGTGTATGTGTTTTAATAAAACAATGCAACTTGCCAGACTCAGGTTGTTGCAAGAGTAGACAAGTAAACTTATTTGGGGGAAATGATAAGTTTGGGATCACAGAGGGGTCTCACCTGTACTTGACCTGAATTCTAACAGTATGGC